TGCTCTCACAGGGCAGTCCGCGCCACCATTCCTGCCCCGGCCACCGCTCGCAGGTGCCGCCGCCGTCTTCCGCAGGATCGGCTGTCTCCACGGAAACCTCATTTCCGCTTCCGCCCGTTCCTCATGCTGCCCCCTGATTGGCTGTTCCTCCCGTCGATCCGCAGAGCGAGACCAATAGCCGCCCCCAGATATCAGGCATCCCAGCATGCACCGCGAGACGTCAGGTCCCAGACGTCAGGTCCCGGCAGGCCACGGTCTCCAGCCGGGGTAGCTCCCACTCAGGAAGGCGGTGGCTTGTCCTGCGCGCTTGTTTGGCGCCTCCAACGTGCCCGTGCGTCAGGTACGGCGGGCGGGCCTACCCGACCACCAGTGTCCCCCTCAACCGGCTCTGTGGGACTTGACCCCCGGGCCAGGCCGGCCTCATTCTGTTCCCCTTTTGCCATCACCACTGGCAGATGGAGAAGAAACGGAACCTATGGGAAGTGAGGAATTGGCCACTCGTCATACAGCCACATCGAGGCCTGAGAAGTCAAACCCAGTTCCTCCCCGAACCAGCAGGTGTGCTTCAGAAAGGCAGGGCTTAACGGCCGTGCTTCAGGGGCCATGAGCAGCGAGTGTCCGTCCAGAGCGGCTCCCACAGCTCTGCTCTGGGGTGTAGGGTTCCCCTGAGCGCTGGCTGCAGCTGATGATCTTGCCCAAAACAAGACCTGAGCCCCAGGGTGCCGAGAGGACTTACATATCTGTACCCAAATCCTTCAAATTGGTCCCACAGTGACCTTGAAAAGGTGTTCTGTGAGCCTGTCCATCACCTTGGGCAGCCACTGGCATGAAGAGCAACTGGGGCCACGGCCCATATAGAGTGCAAAAGCGGGAGAGTCTTGAATCTTTATTCAGCCAAGTTTTCCCAAGCCCCAGGCCCTGATGATGACTGTCATTCCCACCCCTTTCCCCACAGGAGGCATTCAGCTGAGGCCACAAAATATGCATTCACACACATCATGAAAAATACCCCAAGTAAGACCCTGGCTTTGATTGGCAAACAAGGCATGGACCTGAGCCAGTGCCCACAGACCCCAGCCCAGGTCCTCCTCCTTGGAGGCGCACTGAGGCACTGTTGCTGCAGTGGCAGCAGCACGCGGACTCCAGGGTGTGCCAGAGCCCAGGGCACTGCAGAGGGAAACCTGCATTCTTCCTCGCTGCCTGCCTGGTCTTCAACACCCACTATTGGTCCTGAGACCCCATCCCAGACATACAACCCTTCCCCATAGCTGAGGGTCTTCATCCCTGCAAACATGACCCTATTCTGTTGGTTGGGTCTCCAAGATTCTCGTATCTGAGACACAAATTAAGGAGACTTCTGTCTGCTCTACCCTTGCTGTAACCCTGTCCACCATGCCTCAGTACACGAAGGGCAGAGGGTGCAGAGCGATGCTCTGCTACACCCATGGGTGGACACAGGGGGCCCGCTCCTTTGCTGCTCTCTGGGTTCATTCCGCCAGCCAGATGAGGGCCTCCATGCACACTCATTCCTCAGGCCAGACAGGCCCTGTCACACTCACACGGCACACCCTCTGTGCTGCCTACGCTCCTCCTTCCACCCAGGGGTATAAGAGGTCACCCCAGGGGGCAGGCATGCAGGGCCTCCTGGATCTTCTGGCGGCAACAGGAGTACTTCTGCAGGATCTGGCGGAGGTGTTCCTCTTCCTCCCGCTGTAGGATGCGCAGGAAGTTGCGGAGCTCAGGCATGCTGAAGGCATCCCACTGCAGGGAGGAGGGTGGCAAAGGCTGCAGCAGGCATGGCCAAACCAGCAGGCCTCTCCAGAGAAGACCAGAGCATCATGGTCACACCTGGGGCTTTCTGATCAGGTTCGTGCCTGAATGGTCTGTGCTAGGGTTCCCACCATTCTGTCTAGAAGACGGGTCCCACAAAGTAGGCAGTCACCTCGAGGCAGGTAACCAAACCAGATGTTCCCAGTCACCACAGACAGGTCATGCTCACACTCTTTGAGTCTAATCCCACTTCATGGGCCCAACACATTGGAACCAGAAAGCTCCCAGGTGAAAAGTCCTCACGTCTGGAGGGGAGCCCTGGACGTCCTGGGGCCACCTGTGTGGCTGTGATATGGCCTGGATCACCACAGCGTGAGATGGACTCCTGCATCTCCCGAGGACTCCCACGACGGGAGAGAGCAGAGCACCAAGGCCGTTCTCCCTGGCGTCTGAGACAGGCCCAGACTTGGCACGAATGGCCAGGAAGCCTTCACTCGGCCACAAGGCTCACACGCTCCTGGAGAAGCATACAGGGCTTGTCCTTCACCCTCCTCCTCCTCCGAGCCTTACTGTAGCTGCAACCCTCAGCCCTGCCTAGTGACAACCCAGAATGAAGGAGGCTGTGTACTCACGTTCACCTCCCCAGAGTCATTCTCCTTCAGCACGAAGCTCAGGGCCTTCTCATTGGGCCCCGCAAGGAGTCGTAGCCGCAGGGGCTGCTCGTCATCCGACAGCTTCCGGAGGTACACTGAGGTCAGCAGGGGGGAGTGATTAGTCAGGCCCGGCCCCCTCAGCCCTGCACGCACAGCTGCATGCACATGCACCTCCCAGGTGGGTGAGGCGGGAGCCCACCTTGGCCGTGGCGCTCGGCCCGCTCAAAGAGTGCAAACTTGCGGGGGTCATCCACCACCAAGAACTTGCGCAGCAGGGCCTCGATGACCTCGCGTGCCCGCGTGCGTGACAACACGTGCAGGTGCTTGACAGCATCCTTGGGCAGGTAGAAGGAGGTGCGGCGCCTCACGGCTGTGCTCCGCCCTGGGCCCCGCCGGGCGTCCTGCAAGGTGGGAGGCTTCTTGCTGGCAGGCACGGAGACAGGGCGCACCAGCTTCAGCTGCACCTTGATGAAGCCTGTGTAGGAGCCGTCCTTGTTCTGAAGAGAAACCGAACCATGACTGGCTTCCAGGTGAGAAGGGACAGATCTGGGCACTGCCAGTCCACACGGGGCCAGGCTGGATGTGCATCAATCTCTGCGGGCCCACCCAACCATACCTCGGCTGCGACCCTTCAGACATCGGGACCACAGCTGGGCCCCTGTCCCTCCCCGAACCCCTTCCCAGGCTGTCAACTCACCAGGCTCATGAAGAGGTTGCTGTTGATCTGGCCATTGTACTCCTTGATCTTCTGCTCAATCTCAGCCTGAGAAAGGTCAGGTGTCTCCCACTGCACGGGCTCGTCCTGAAAGATGGGGCAGCACGGACCCTTAAGGAGCCATCCCATGCGGCAAGGCATGCCACAGGCACAGAGGTGAGCCCTGGGTGGGCCGCTCTGAGAAGCGGCCTTTGGCGTAGCCTTTGGAAACCGACAAAGCGTGAGCCTGATGAGAGAACCCATCACTGCTCCAGGCTGTGCATGCCAGGGATGGAGACAGCAAAGGCTGCTCTCTGCCCCAACTGTGACAGTCCAGGTGAGACCCTAAGGGCACCTTAAAACCAAGGCACTGAAGCACAAAGCCCGGGGCCAGGAAGAGAAAGGGACATTGGAAAGGGCTCTCGCTCACAGTAAAACTACCGCAGCGGCACAGCCCGGTCCCGGCACTTTAGGTGGGCCTGTGTGTGTCCTGGAGAAGGAAGCCCACTTTGCCCCTCACCCTGGCAAAGGGCCCTGGCCCACTGCATGGTGAGAAGTGTGAGGGCTGGTGCACAGCAGGAGCCCAGCCACCAGTGGGCAGAGGGGAGGGGAACCTCTAAAACATTAGCACCCCTTGGCAGAGGGCCTGGGGCCAGCCGCATGTCTGAGATCTAGTGAGGAAACCACTGTGACATGCCATTTGAGCTTGACCCAGGCTGCACAAAAGGTTCCAAGTCTGCCTCCTGCTGGAGCCTGCCCACAAGCGCCAAGCGGGTCGGTTTCTGCACCTCCTTCCTGCTGTTGGATGTTTAGTGCAAAGAGGCAGCGCCACCACTCAGCCCCTCCCCCACTCCTCCAGGAACTGGATCCTTATCGGAAAGGTGGAGTATGGACCAGGGCAGTCGGGCACTGAATAAACTTTCTCCTACCAACTGCCTTGGTCCCATTGCATCAGCCTCACTTCCTTTCCGGGTGATGTCAGACAGGCCCTAATGGGAGTGGGAGTGTCACAGACCAGCTGAGATCATGGCTGACTAATGCCTTGTCCCAAGTCCCCAGGGAGTTCCCACCAGAAGGTCTCTTACAGAATAACCCTGTGCCCGAGCTGTGCTTCAGAGCCCCTAAGCTGAAGCCAGCTGATGGGGACGGATCGGGAAGACAGGCGAGGACGCAGGTGGAGTCAGCCTGTCACTGTGTGCTCTGCACCCGGACTCGCTGCTGTCCAGCAGAGCAAGGGCGGTGCGGAGGGTAGGGTGGGCTCTCCAGCAGAAAGGTCCTGGGAGAAGAGGGAACTGAAGCCTGTTTGCTTCCCCGAGCTCCCAAGGTCTTGTGGAGAGAGGAGAGCATCGAGAAGTGACAACTTCAGCACGAGCCTTGGGGACAGCGGGAGGCCCCTAAGGCTGGTAAGAACAAATGTGTGGGCCCTGGAAAATGGGGATTCTGGGTGGGGGTAAAGGAGGGCTGGAGGCTGGGGATAAAGGGTGGGTATGGTATTCAGGCCCAAGGAGAGGCCTGGGACCGAGAGGAAGCCTCAGCGAGGAGCGCCAGGATGAGCGGGCTGCTAGGGGCAGGAGGAAAGCTGGGCGGACTCTAGTGCCAGGGCAGGAAGGAAGAGAATTCTGGGCACAGAACAGGGTGGGCACAGGGACGCCACTATCTTATTCCCCTGCCTTGGGCTGGCTCTGAGCTCCAGCCTGGGAATGAGAGAACTCGCTCCTTCCTGTTCCTTTCCCGGGTAAGTCAGGGCCCTGGACTGGGATGCAGTGGCTCCGTTCCAGCCCCTTTCCTTCTCCGGGTGACCCTCCCTCGGTAGAGTTACTCCTAAAACAAGGGCCTTGGGCAGGAGGCACCGTGCCTCCCACGGGTTGGAGAGGAGGAAGGGTTTCTTTTTGCGTTTCCAAGCTGCCTGGTGAAGGGGATTCCAAGGGCCATCCCAGAGGGATGCCCAGCAGGATCAGAGCATCTCCGTCCCCAAGCACAGAACCCGCTCGCCATCTGCCACTGTCCATGGTGACCGATGGTCTGATTCTACATACAACCGGGACGCCCCCGCTCCGGGTCAGTGGGTAGTGTCTTGTGGTTTTCTCGCCTTTCCACAATGGAAAAGAGCTCAGGCCCGAGTGACACGGAGAGTTTCAGGGATCCACACTCGGAGCTTGCACCGAGCTCCGGGCTGAGCTCCTGAAGTCGTCTTCATCTAAAGCACTATCCACACCCCTTCTCTTGGCTCATGTGAGGACTTCGCCTCCATGGCTGCAGGTCCTGCGCTTCATAGTCCCATCTCTCTTCCCCATGCTCTGGCCAGGGGTGACCAGCTCCCCAGCAGCTAGTTATCTGAGCCTGGCGGTCACACTCACAGCACAGAGGTCTCCAAGGAGGGGGACACCGGGAGACTCCCTTATATCCTGGGTTAGGGCCCCCTCCCCGGGCGCCCTCTCAGCGAGTTTACAATCTGGCCTTCCCCCCTCTGTGGATAAAGTGCCCGGATGCTTATGGTCCCAAACAAGGCTTCCTCCCCGCATCCCCAATCCCGGATCTGCAGGTCCACTCCACCTTCAGTGTATGCGCCCCCCAGGGCGCACTGCGCGTGCACCCGCGAGTGGGGCTCAGAACCCTCCACGGTCCAGCAGCTGCAACAGGCCAGGACCCGCCAGAGGTGGAGACTCAGCTCCATCCGGGAGTGCGACGGAGGGCGCACACCACGCCTGGCCTCTCCCCTAAGAACACTTCTCAATTCCCGGAGAAGACTCCTCCCTCGCCACTTCCTCCTGGTTCCTTCCCAGAGCGGGTGGGTGAGTCCGAACGCGGAAACCGAGGTCTAGTCCGGGCTGCGCCGCGGCCTTAGTCATAGGCGGACCGTGCCCGTCCCTGGTCTGCCCCACGCCACGAAGCTGCTCCCCCTGGTTGGACCGGTCTGTGACGGGGCAAGGCGTCGGCTGCCGGGACCCACGCGC